AAAGAGTTACTTGAGGACAAGTAACATTTAAGTTTGGGGGAATGATTCACCTTAAAATTACCTATTTTTAGTGTACATTTTATGATTATTTTATGTAAATTTTTGATGATATTGCACTTTAAAGGAATATATTTTGTATATTTTTTTTCAGCTACAAGAAATGAATTTTTGGAGAAAATGAAGCAAAAACGGTGCAATTTGGAGCCAAATCGAGTAGGGAAGAAAATTCTGATCCACCGCATTTTGATATGCCTTTATATTCTTAATCTTCTTCATATTTGTCCCACATTTTTCAATGAATTTACAATTTAAAGAAAGATTATTTTCATGTCTATCTTGTAGGTATAGCACTAGAAGCAATCCAGAGCTGAAACAGGGCGCAATAGAGCCAAATCGAAGCAAAACAGGTGTGCTGCCCGCAGGGGGGCATTGTAGTGCCTAGACTAGCACAATAGCTCCAGTCATGGCTAGAAACAGGTGTTATAGCGCTGATTTTGGCGCTATAGCATCCAAGAAGGTTTTTGGATAGGTTTTGAGCAATTCTGGGATGTTCTGGAATCTTCTAGACAACTTGCACACCCCATAAAGTGATTCAATGAATATAGAAACATTTGAATGAAGAGATATGTCTCTTGGAGAGAAAGGGCGTGTCTCTTGGAGTGAAGGTGTAGTCTTTTGAAAAATAGAGGTGTTTGACCTCCTTTAAATAGAGAGGCTCGACGCCTCTTATGAGAGGTAATTAGAGAACAAACTAAGAGAGATTTAGGGAAATTAGAGAGGATTTTGGCTTGAGTACGGAGAAGTAGATTTCCACATTTTCTGGAGAGATTGGTGAGGGATTTGAGATGAGCAAGGAAGTGTGAGCGACACATGGATCAACAAAAGACTTTCTTGGAGAGATTTTTTTCTTTCTTTCAGAGGGAAAAAACTAAGTATTGTGTTATTCATTTTCTTGTAGTTATTGTAAACACTTTCTAGTGGGTTTTCTTTGAAAATAAAGTATTCAATTGTGTTTTTATCAATGCTTTGTAAGTAGTTTTATTTACTCATTTCTTTTAATATGAAGTAGTGACATGTGTAGGAAAATTTGATTTATGATAGAATTATTTTTATTTTTATGTGATGAGTAATATCTCTTTTGCTTAACTAACATAACTTAAGTGGCAACAAGTAATGTTAAAATATGTTGTAAGTGAAACTAAGACTCGGGAGAGCGGTAATCCTGCAGCTTGAGTGCACTCACATTGAACAATTGGCTAGTAAAATAGTATAGGCGGCAATGCAACTTTTAAGGGAAAATAATTTAATGATATGTTTCTATTAGATGCTTAGAATACTAAACATACCTATACACTCGAAAGACGGCAGGTAAGCATATATTCCTTGCTGACACATAATTTATTAGTTAATTCTATCAATCCTTTAACCGCTTATGCCGTTATCTTCATTTTACTTTATTTTTTCAATGAGATAGATACATGTTTAGAAACTTAGATGGGCTTATATATTCTCTTATTTAATTACTGTAATGGTATCTTTACGGGTTCTTAATTAACTTTGCAAACTGATCACTTGTAATGTTAAAATCTGTTGCGAAACATAATGATCCGGGAGGGTTATGACTTCACCAACTAGTGAGTACCATATTTCATCTTGGGTAGAGCCATTACAATTACTCGAGGGGAGTGAAAATAGATAGAGCGATAAGTTTTGATGGGAGTAGAATTGATGTTTCTAGGGTGACAGACTAGATTCTTTTATCAAATTGGTCTAGAGTTTTGATCGTAAGGGTCCGTAGTAGGTCTTATAGAGAGGGTACAGTGGGTAATCTTCAAGTAAGAGGCCAGAATCTACTCAGCACTACTACAGAAGCTGGTGAGAAACTTTAGATTAGCCAATGTTTTGCAAGCATCGAGAGGGGGTGAAAAATAGACATACTTCTATTTGTCACTGACAACATTAAATTCAAAGCATTTCATTTGCACGAGAAGGGTAGTTTTTGACATCTCATAATTCTCCAAACCAATTTATCCAGATAAATTATATTTAGATTTAGGATTTTCACTTAGTATATTATTAGAAAAATCACTTTAATCGACATTCCAAACTAAGACCTGATAGTAGTAGACTAGAATTAGCTTAAGGGATTTCTTACCTCGCTTTTATGTAGGATCGATACTTGGGGTCTTAAAAGAAAACCTATATTACTTGAAATGATACGTACACTTGCGTAGAAACCCTAGTGTGTGAAATATAAATCAAGTTCTAAATTTTATAAAATATTATTTTGCACACTAGCCATTTAAATATAAATTTAATCAAGTTTTTAGCCATCTTTTGGAGCTTAAAAATCTACGTAATTGAGGGTCGGGTCAATGATCTTATGGGAACTCTCCTTGAGTTTCATCATGTTGGTCTTAACAAACTCAACCAAGTGTTGAGGGTTTGAGACCACTCTTTTGGAACTTTAGAAAAGGGTTAGAAGGTGATTCGAACTTCTAAGTGAGGTGGGTCCTATCACTAGTCTTCTAGGATAATCAATAGGAAAGTCCTATGACTAAATCCTAAGTTATAAGGGAAGAATTTAGACCTCACAAAAAATGAGGTCAACAGACACTTCGTAGCATCATTGATCTGCAAAACTCCAACTGAAGATTCAAAGGAAGCCACGTGGTCAACCGGGGCACTCTTACCTATATAAGGATCCAAATGGGGAATCCTTAGCTTCACTAGTGGTATGGCTTCCGCCGGAAGAAGCACTGCTTGTAATCGGTCGGTCGAGTTTTTCTAAACGATCCACCCGTTGCTTAACCATCAGTGTAGACGTCGTACTGTATGCAAGCTGGGAGTCCCCCAACCTTCCGACTGGTCGATCACCAGCTTGATCGTTGGACATGGGTGAATTTTTGCAAGTAACTTTCTAGGAGCGAGTTCATTGACTCTCCTTTCAAGAGTGGCGGCGGGTCATTCCTCTGAGTTATTATCGCCATGAGGGCTTCAAACTAGTCCATCTTCTACGTGCGCAATGCCTGGACCTCCTCCTGGATGTTTTGATGTATCGTCTCCCTATTGAATTCCATGGATGTTATGCCACTATTTGAGATTTTTCCTTTGTAATTTGCTCTGCTTCTCGTCTGTGGCATGTGTATGCATACCACACCATCTTTAGGATATTGAATCATAAATTGACCTTCATAGATACACACTCTGAGAGGGGGCCCGAGAGGATAGTAAGAGAGAGTAAAATAGATAGAATCCTAGGGAGAGGAGTCGAGGAAAGATGTCCTTTTTTTCATCATCGAGCCTCTCATTTATAGGGACTTATTTGTACAATTGCGGAAAGAAGGGAACAATTATGCAAATTGCTCTTCATGCAAGAATGTGCTAACTTAATATTAGATTTGTGTTACAATTTGAATGGAATACAACAACTATCAGCTGGTCGACATATTCAAGTTCGGTCATCCGAGGCGAGCGATCCCGTGGCGATCGCTTCTACCGAGGTAAAACTGGTTGGTCGACTACTTGTGATTGAACGATTTTGCAAGAAGTCTAGGTAGCTGAAATCGTAGGACAATTTAATATGTCAAAATTGCATGTCGATTGACTCGATCGAGCGGCCAATCACCAGATAGCTGATTTGAATCATGCTCTTTAAGCTCAATGCTTCAATTGTCAGACCACTATCCTTGGCAGTTTGATTGCTTTGAAATTCTTGCCGGCAATTTTGATGCATAGAAAAACAATTTCATTACATGTTGAATTTTCTGAAAGACCTCACATGATGAACATAAGATAAAATTTTCCATCAATTTTTTTCTAAAGTATATATTGTTAATTACATCCCATGCAGCTTCCACTTTGCCTACAAAGATCAAAATATTTCTTATCAAGTTTGAATGGAAATTCCTAATCTTTGAAAGTAGGGCACTATGGTAACCATAATTAAGGAAAGATTGAGGGGTTAAAAAACTAAATAATAGTAACAAAATAGGGATATAAAAAAAGCACAGTTCACAAGGAGCTGATAATCGACTCATTAAATACTTCGTATTTAAATTATTCATTAAGTAAACGAACCAAATACAAACTAATTTTTTAAGCCCGAATTATAAATAAACTAAATACAAACAACCCTTTATTCGATAATATTCAGTTTATTTTAACTTTAAATAAAGAAATTATATATATATATATATTATTTCTTTAATAATACATCACATAATTTATATCTAAATTTAATTTATAACAACCCGTAAAATCATATTATTTTGCACCTTCTATTTTACATAATAATTTTATGTTCGAATCTAGCCCCCAACATATTTTTTTATAATTAATTTAAATGAGCAAATTTCAAGTCAAACTCGAACAAAATATATCCAAATAAAGCCGAACACAAACACGAAGACGATATTCGTGAACTAATTTTGAGCACAACTCAATTTCAAACGAGCATTAACACGAGCCAAGGCCTGAGCCCGCTCATGCTCAATTCGTTTACAACCCTGGTCATAATCCATTGGATCAACAAGATGGTAAATATTATGAAAGAGAAAAAGAAATATATGCATACAGAAATCAGATTTATTTATTATTATTATTATATTTTTTATTTGATAAAAGCCACTTGCACAATGTGTGGCTGTACGAAGGAAGACACCCCATCTCACTTCAACAGCAGCTCTATCTCAAGATTTCTTTGAAACTGTAAAACATTCAAAACTAAAAAATAGAAAATAAAAAAAATCAAAGTGATCCAAACAGATGAGAAATAATTCAGGGCCAGCAAAAGAGAGTTTAATAGCAATATTTGCTGGAAAAAAAAATAGAGGCATAATTTACATATTTTACACCTAAAACTTTACTTTTTTTACATTTATAACAATTTATAACAATCTTTCACATCGCATAAAAAAAACCATCATTTAAATTATTAAACTGTAAAATATACATTTTCATGCATGAGTAAGCTGGCATGTATGTAAAAATTGCAGTATAGGTGCTAGATATGTAAATACATTGGAATGGAGTGGTAAATCTTTCCAAAAAATAGCATCAATGCATCAAAAACCTTACGAAATAATATATGTAAATCTTCCAAAAAATTGATGATTCCAATAAGAAAGCACTCAAAGCAGTTGTAAGAAATATTTATGTGCATATAGTCCGTATAAACCATGGTTTTCATGGCAGATATTGAACAAGTAGAACGAGGTGTTCCACGACATTTCAGACAGCAGCGGCCGGATCTTGCCCATGCAAATCTTCTTGTTTTCTGCCTTGATTTATTCTTCAGAGCAAATCTCTCATGTTTTAGAACAACTTAAGCTATAAATTAATAGCAATCTCTGTTCTTTGGCTCATAAATCTCATTTCCTACATCCTTCAAAGCATTTACATGGTGTTAGATAAATTATAACTGAGAATGACAGAATAGAGCACAGCGACATACTGCCTTTGGATATATGAAGAAAAATATTTCTGCTATTAGAAGTGAGGTTTATAAAACAATTTAGTATTTGGTACAAAATAATAGTTGGAATTATTGGTAAAATTTGAGATCGCCGCCGACTTCTTTACCTTTGCATCTAACGAGAAAACTGAGCTGCTGCCTCAAATGCAAAACCTGCAAAGCAAGCAATAATGTTTAGATAACAAAACTATATGCTTCTTATAGCAGCATAAGGAAAGTAGTTGTTTGGATATAAATAAGATTATCAGCTGCATGATTCATAAAACAAACAAAATAAATAGCAAAAACAATATAGTTAAGATTCAAAACTAAGCGCTGGAATGACACTTACTAATGGTGACAGAGTAATGTGTCAAATAATCCCCCAACTATTTACATTGGTTCATCTTAGTTCTGGAGTTTAAAAAAGTGTCCAATTAGTCCCTAGAACCTTCTAATATAGGCTAAAATAGTCCTCTCTAGGTTCTATTTTTTGCTCTCTTTAAAAGGATATGGAGACTAAATTGACATTTATATAGACTCTAGGACTAAAATGGCTCCCTAAAAAACATCAGATGACATTTTAACACTTTTCTTAATGGACAATGTATCGAATCAAATTACTGAATGTAGCTTGTCATTATCTAGCAGCTTTAATATCTGACAAGTTTATCCGGTTAATATAATTTTCAAATTTAAGAAAATAAGGGAAAAGAAACAAGGAAAAAAAATAGCATGCAAGTTAATAAAAATTCTAAAACTATGCTAAAGCAAATGAAAATTCTAGTGATCCCCTAGTCATTTACTACAAAAAATTTTGAATTTTTTAAGGGGCATTTAAATAAATATCACACAATTCTTATGTATTTACTCACATCTCACACCTTGGCTTTCATATTTCCACACAACACTCAAATCTTTAATATCACATCAAACATAGTACTATTACCCTTTTTTAAAAATGAAATCTTATGTATAGATTTAAAGCACCAAAATGCTACGAATGTAAATATAAAAATTTAGGTGTGAGGTGTAAATACATAAGAATTGTGCTACGCATGTAATTAATCATTTGTATATTAGGAAAAAACATGGAAAATAGTAAGATATTATCTGCTCAGATCTCTCATGTTCCATATCCTTCAGCAAGCAGGCTTCCTCTCAATTCCACAATAATAACATACTAGATCCCTCTTCATCCTTCATGGCAGGAGGATGTTCCTCAAGGATTCTTCGGAGAAGCTATAATAAGTCCCACTACACTATAGTACAATGAAGCACTTACTCTAATTCCACTAATCAATAGCACCAATTCATGTGGAAAGTGCTGCTAGAATTTTCACCTGTATAAAATTTCTTAGTATTATATCAATTGATTACAGGGTTGCCTTAAAAGATTGTGATACACAACATCTAGTGTTTTGAGCTTATTAATGCTAACCTGAGTTGGGATGCACAGAAAAAATGTACAAATAATCAAAACTTGTGGTCTGTCAAGTTATAATAGGCAAAGCTTAGTCTGTTTAGATGCAAATAATAAATATATAAATAAATAACCGTTTCAAATGAGCTACAAATGATAATTTCATGACAACCCAAAATCCCAAAATTTGCAAGAAAACTGAGAATAAAATAAAACTATACAATGATAAGGATTCATGCTATAAAAAGGGAAAAGCTACATAGTAATCATGCTAGTCAAATTCCATTTACACGTACAAAATCAATCACAAAGTATAGGGATGAAAAATTTGCGGGCTCCAAAAATTCAAGACAGGCTTTTCTTAGTGAGTATGTGATGTTGGGTCAAAATTCCAAAGAGCATATACTACTCTGATAAGAAATAACCTAGAGATTTCAGCGTCACTTTATAAGAACTTTATAATCTAATTCCAAGTTCCCCAAAGGCGGAAGCTACTATAGTTGATCATCATTCTTGATAATGAAAAAGAACTTTCAATTAAGACTAATCAATAGGCGCTAAATACAAAAATTATAGTAGCAACAATTTGATTGTAGGTTTAAATAAATTTACTATTGTTAGCTTAGAGTCAATGGTGGGTGATAACAAACTCGATCAAGAACTTATGATACTATCATCTCGACTACTCACGGATCTTGATTTACTTAATAATAAAGATAGACGGCCCAACTCGACAAAAATATGATTATCATTGGCCACGGGTTAAGTTGTCTCAGAAAAATTTATAGACTTGATGTGACTGCTTGTACGAGGAGATAGTTAAGTTGATCTAAGCTAACAAGGTGCTTTGTGTTTTATCAAATATACTCCATAATTCTCCACTTGGGGGATTGAGACCATTGTGAAGGCCCCAATTATAATTGTTTTTTGCAATATATCATTTGATTAGAGGCCCCAATTATAACCATGCATTTAATTATTTCATTTGGTGACAAAATCATCAGATTAAAGTACACGTGTCAAGTGATTACTAACATGATATATGCAAGAGTAAACATAAAACTGTGCTCAATATGACATTAGCTCTTTGTGGGCATAAGTTATCTTAAATTTATTGCACTTGACAAACTACTGTGAAAAGTGGATGGATTGCTACTTTTAGCTTTAGGCAGTACATTTCTCTCAAGTATTTGATTTTATAAGTCTCTCAAGATTAATTTGCATTTTTTTTATTAATTTGAACCCAAACAAATCTACATTGGGGTTTGAGGGCATTTTAATGATAAAGACACCCTACAATTGAAATTTAATGGCAACAAAATCATCATCGGGATGTTTAAATAATTTCATTTCATTTGTTAGCCTTTTATTGATTCTACTTGCTTAGTTGTAGAGGATCAGGTTCATGATTCGTATATATGGTTTGAATTCATTTGAAAATTCATCACATTATAGGCCTCATTAATAGTAGCCCAAATATGTAAAGGAAGTCTGTAAATTAGAGTTCGTAGTTATGTCATATAAGCATCATATGGATACTTTACATTTTGTAAATTAAATTTATTTATAAAGGTATTAAAGATTATATGTAAAAAAAAAGACTATTTTTAGCAAACTTTATGGTTGGTTATTCAATTTTGAGGTTTTAATATTAAGGGTTTGTGGGTTGTAAGAAATGGGTTTAAATTTCAAGATCATTCTTTAATACAAGTTTTATAAACTCTAATACTGATGATTTGGAGGATTGGACGTAGTCAAGACAACGCACTTCAGAACATGCACAAAATATACTAATAGTTTGAATGCAAGTTTAAAATAGACGAGTTTGAACTTTCAAACTAGTTCCAACCCTTTCAAAATATTTATGCTGTTTGGACTCTGAGAAATTTGGCTTGAAGTCCTATTTGGATCATCTTCCTTGAATCTTTGCAAAATAGCCCATAACCGCTCGTTCATAAAACGATGGTCTTGTGCCAAAGATGCTAGACATCAAAGGAAAATAGGAATCGGCTGGAGCTTCTAGAAGGGTGAGTCTCAATTCTAGTTTTCTAAGATGGTCCATAGGGATTTCTAGAGCTAGAACCTAGACTCTAAGGAGGAGAAGAAAAGACCTCACAAAAATGAGGTCAACAACAACATTATCTGATTTACATATTTGTTGGAGCACATGTGAAAAAAATTATTTTTGGTGATTTGGAATGCGTGCACACCTTTTTGAAAAGGTTTAAGAGCTCAGAGATAAATGCCAGTGGGTCACTTCAGTTACATATAGAAAGATTTTCATTCAAGTTTGTGAGGATTCATGGAGGCAATAATTCATATGAATGCATCATCCTTGAAGCGTGAATGTGACTTTGCATTTTAGGTTCATTATTGATCGCATTAAGTCTGCCTGTGTGCCTTAGTATGTGGATTTGGTTGGGATGATCGCGAGTTAAAATCCATTATACATTTTTAAAGAGGAACAATTGTCTGTATATGGCTTGTATTTTACGAGGATGGGCCAGCAAATAATTATGCTTCCATGTATAAATAGGAACCCAACTTACATTATTTTCATTTCAATATTACTTTACCAAGTGTGTTCTTGAGAGTTTTGAGTATTTAAGAGATTTTTGGTGTAATCAGGAAGTTATGCACCAGCAGGTTTAAGATAGCATTAAGAAAAATGAGAAAATTGCAAAAAACAAACCAAAAGCAAGATTTCGTGCATGATGAAAATCATGCTAAATAAGATAACTAGGTTTATTATTATTTTTAACATAGAAAATGAGCAATATTTAAAAATTGTTTTGAGAATGTATTAAAAATGTAGTTTTAAAAAGGTGCTGAAGAACAATTTTAAGCTAAATATGCCAGTTTAACAAATTGGCAGGTAGGGTTATCTCACTGAAAAGGTAAGAGTTTCTACACCTACAAAACACCCCAGGATTATCAGAAAAGCATATCAGGCCTCATACTTTGTAGCCATTTAATTAAAATGGCAGCAGATGAATCAATTTTTTACAGAACAAACGGTTTTAGACAACCACTGCGCATTCAGTTAGCAGGATACTTCCATAGTTCAATAAAAAAGAGGCATTTACCGACACTGATGTGGGGCACCCTGAGGGTTGAATTAGCTGGGCCGCTTGGACTGGTTCAGCCAAGGGAATGCAAGGCCCAGCCGGCTACCATGTGAAAAAGGGGCATTTGCCAACATCCTGAGGGCTGAATTGGCTGGGCCACTTCAACAGGTTCAGCCAAGAGGATGTAACGGCTCCTATTTTGGGGATAGGGTTGCCGCCCAAGGGGAGGTGCCTCTCCCTCCTAGTTATCTATTATATATATTAATTGTTTTCAATTCTATGATTAGTTTTTGCTAAGTTTTCTATCAAGACAGCTGTTGGTGTTCCCCTTTTCTTCCTAGAGGATGTATCTAGGGCTGTCAAAACGGCTCGTTGTTCGCGAACGGCTCATGCGCGGCTTGTTAAGAAGCTCGTGTTCGGCGCGTTCGCTAAGTTAACGAGCTAAACACAAACAAAGATTTGTTCGTTCGTGTTCAGATCGGAAAAGCCCAAGGGCTGTTTTTATTGAAATAGAAAAGAATACATAAAAGTTGTGTGAGAAGAGCCCAAAAGAGGCACCCTACCTATATGATACAAGTATAGTAATACCCCAACAAAAGATACAAATAAACTCAATAAAATGTAAAACAAATTTAAAACATGCAGAAACAAACAGCTAGGGACGAGTCAGTTTAGTCTTGTCT